ATGGATGAATGGCCCGGTCATTACTTTACTAACAGATGTGTACTTAGTTGACCTGTGGCCAGTGATAAGATTGTGCAYTTTCATTTCAGCTGACACCAGATGAGAGGTGTCACATTATGCAAACTACTGCAGTGGTAATCAAAGTGTGTTTAACCTGACACTCCATTAAGTTACAACCAGTTTTATTTGACAAATGAGACAGGTAAGGAGCAGAGCCTGGCAGCTCACCTGTGACCAAGGGCTCACTCCCAGGGGGCTCTGGGAGAGTGAGGAACRGGACTGAAGTCTGGGCAGAACCAGAGGCTGACACACACCTTCACACTGAACCACAGCCAAAGTAATTAGTGTCTTCTTACTTACTACGTGTAACAAAAAAACTTTGAGAAAGAACAGCCTGCAGCACTTCCTGCTGCCTTTTAGCTCCAAAATTTGTCAGTATCAAGACYTTAGCCAAAGGGCTGTCATCTCCAGCTTGGGTCTAGTCTGCCAAAAACTGGCCCACTTTTTACTTTCCCTACTGGAAAAGGAAGCTGCATGACATAACACTGAGCTCTGCCAGTAGTTCAGTGAGAACCACACTTTCAGTCATGACCAATTATATTTGTTTTCTTTACAACTGCAACCACAAAAAAGTTGATTTCATTCATAAAAGAAACTTACATGAGAACTTGGTGCTGTTTTCTATTCAGCAAAGTTAAATTCTTTCAGTGYYGGMYAGCTATCACACASACTARTAATTCACTGAATTACTGTAACTASTTTTGCTAMCYTGTAAAATGCCACCTGCAGTGGTATACCATTGTCTCATGGGGACTTTCTGGCTTTCCTCAGATCAGGCAAGAATGATCATTTTGTAACTTTTTTTATTTTTTAAACCAGAAGAATGAATTGTTGTTCATATCTAGAAAGGTCAACACAACAACAAGCTTGGCATGTGAGCTAACAACTGGATAGAAGGAAAAAAACAATAGAAAAAGAACTAAACTTCATGTGTCTTTGTAGTTCTTCAGAATACCAGCCAAGCTAACAAAGAATAGAAGTGCCCCTGTTAACTCTGAACTACATCTTCCAGAAAGGCCAGCTACCCTTCCTATACCCCCAAAGTTCTGGATGGACAGGAAGTGGGGATTTAAAGTACACAGAATAATCAGGGCCATAGTTGCTGAAATTTCAAGAGCTATTATAAAGGTAGGGAACAAAGCACCAGATACATACTGCAAATGGGACCAGACTTGCACATAAATTTGCAAAGTCCTGAATCAACAGCATTGTTTCCTGTGACAGTATTTTCCCCAACAGGTAGGTAAGAACAACTATGCCTTCACCAAAAGAGCAGTATCGGGAAATCTGAAGTACAGAAAACCAGTATCACTGTTTTTCCACMCAAAACACTTTCATATGCTTTTGAAAACAGCTGCTACATTGTTTTCTGTCCTGAATAATTAATAATCACCTGGTCCTGAATATATATTTTTCTACCTTGATCTTCTTAAAWCAGTATTATTTAAGGAAGAATTTCTTAAGCTCTCTCAAAAAGAACAGGGAAAAAAAGAGTCACAGAAAAGACATTAGTATGAGACTAACTTGAAAAACCACAGAAATTGAATTACACATAATAGTGCATTCTGTACAAAAATAGGAACAATCACCCAAGGTTTAAAGCTGCCACACACTTTATGTGATGCTCCAGCTGGTGCCTCTCAGAGAAACAACACTGTCAGTAGTCAAACACAAACAACAARCATCTCAAGACACAGCAGGAAGCTCCTGAGATGTGAGAATAGCTCTCTGGTCAAGTCTTAATTCAGAAGAGATCCATCTGCTGCAGAACTGAACTGCTCCATCACCTCTGAAATTAGGCTAGACATACCCTTAACCCCAAATAAAAGTCTATTGAAGAGACTGAAGGAGTCCCCAGACAGCTCCATCACAATATTGTATTATTTTTCTAAATACAAGGCTGGTTTTCCAGTTAGCTTGTTCAGTTACAGGACTGATGGGTTGGCACCCTGGACAAGACACAGTAGTGATTGGTGTGAATCACAATGACACCATACCCGAAGAGGCTGCTATGCCCTGCTGTGTCACAGCACTCCCCTAAACACTGGGTAATGCCTCAGGAGGAGATCTGAGCCCTTGCAACATCACCTTCACTGAGGCTCTGCAGGCAGCTGCAAGAAGAAAGAAAGGATTTGAAGTTACTCCCTCAGGTACTGGAGTGCCTCCAGCAATGGCATCTGCACAAATTTTCCCAAAATCACTGCTAGAGAGGAGCTACCAGAGAATACTGCTGAAGAGATGATGGTTTGCTGCCCTTTAACCAAGAAAAGGAAAMACATTCTAGACAAATTAGGATGAAATAAAGAAAATAAATTAAGGGGAAGACAAAACAAGAAAAAGCTGAAAAAGATCTTCCTCAGCATATAACCAACCAGTGAGTGCCACTGGACATGGTACAGGGGACAAAACAACTCCCAAGCTCCTGTAAGAAGATGCTGTCTGGAGATGGGTGGTCTGCAGATAGTATTTGGTGCAAGAACATATACAAAATACCAGTTGTTAAGTGCTGACACAATTCTGTTTCAGGCTCAAAAGTTTCCATTCATCTCTATCCTGGCAGCTTCTTTTCCAATTCACAGATTTTGCAGACCTAGTAGAATTTTATCAAGCATCCACTGTCTAAGAGCAGATTTCAGGGAAAAAGAGCAGAAACTTGTCAAGAGGGGAAAAAAATACCACTACTTCTGCTGAGAATACAGGCATGGAGCTACTCATGCATGTCCCAATGACATATTATCTGCTTTATGCCTTGAGTACCTTAGATAGTATATACAGCAACAGAGTACAGCATGGCTAGCACACAGGAACACAGTGTGCCTGACTTCTAGTTCAATAAAGTATTTCAGCATAATTTATCTAGTTTTATGTTTAGCCATCTATAACTACCTTKTGSGACACAGAWGTTAGGAAATGGTACATTTATCTGYTGTAGAGGRGCTCYAMCTCATTCATAAAACACATGGAAACCCATTTATAGCRCCTTCTGACACACTGAACTCAAAACTCATTCAATATCTGGATATTTCCAGGGCAGAGTTTCTAAAGTCACCAATTACTTGAGAATTCCTACAGCATACATCCATGACAGTTTTTCAACCAAATTATTTGAAAAGCAAGAATTTTTCAATCAAATGTGTTGCACAACCCAAGAATACACAGTTCACACAATTTCCCAGATGCCATAASTGCTTTTGAGGCTGCAGAAAGAGCTAAGAGGGAGACAAAAGCTGCAGGCAAACACTGCAGGAATTGCAGCAGCTTGGAAACTGCAGGACTTCAAGTTCAGCAACGTTTCAAATCGAGCAGGGAGAACATACCTGTGGATCACCGCTCATGTGGCAAAAGCTGGATAGCAGAACTGCACAAGTAAAAGGGATGGCATCACGAGGTGACAAGAAAAATCCCCCAAACAAAGCATGAACCTGGTACAGATCAAGTCTGTAGGTTTGCAGGCTGAGAAAGCCACAATGTGCACACATTTTTAAAAGCAACTTATTATGACACCATTGACTTGAGGTACAAGAATTATGATTCTCAACTAAACATACCTTATTCAGCTTCTGAAGTTTAAAATAATCTACGACATATAAAACTGAAGGAAACCAAACAAGTAGCAATAAGACTTCTATGATTACAATTATCTCAATCAGTATGTTGACTGTTAATTACCCGAAGGAGGTTATTAAAGTGCCAATTCAGCGTATCACAGAAGCAGAGCTAACTCCCTAATGAAAGCAAACTCCACCATGACTCTTTGTTCAACGCTCTATCAGAATTGCTACAGCTATATTCCATCAAGGACTTGCTCTAGTCTGGAAACCATTCAGTCACACTACGCAGCACAGCAACCACACTAACAAGGCATTCTGTGCAGGGGCTGGCTGTACATAAAGCTCCAGCAACTCTGCACAGCATTCCCAGAACCAGGAACATCCAGCAGAGCCGGTCTGGACCCAACCTCGCTTGTGAGGCCCAAGACTGTGGCCCTATCCAGCCCAAACATCCTCCAGGACCGCACAAGCTTCAGCACAAGCAGCTAAACCCACCCAAAGGCGACGCAGGTGTGCTAAATTGTGCCATGGGGAAGCCCGCACAGTCTGTGCCCGGCGCTGGGAGCKGCGGTCCCTCCCGCAGGCACCACCGAGCCCTGGGCACGTCCCGGGSCCGGCTCTGAATCCAGGTTCCCTCAGGCCGCTCCTCACTCCCTGAGCGAGCCCAGGGAGCCGGGCAGTGCTTCCCTGCCTTTCTCCCAGCTCTTCCGCGCACCAGCAGCGGCGAAGAGACCGGGACAGCCGGGCACACCGCGCCGGGCTCGGGGCCGGCGAGACAGAGTTCAGCCCCGCGCCTCCGGCCCTGTCCCGGCCCCTCGGGCCCACGCTCCGGCGGGGGCAGGAGCAGGAGCAGGAGMACACGCTGAGCACACGCGTCGGCCCCGCCGCCCGCGGCCCAGGAGCCCCGGCTCGACGGTCCCGGTTCAACGGTCCCAGCCCGAGCCGGGGAGCAGCACCGGGGGGTGCGGGGGTGTTCCGTGCCCAGAGCCCGAGCAGGCTCTTACCGAGAGGCGGCTCCGGAGCCGGGCCCAGGGCCCGCAGCGGACATGGCAGCGGTGCCCGCGCTCCCCGCCCGCCGCCGGAACAGAGAGCGCGGCGCCGGCAGTGGCGTCACTGCCCCGCCCGGCC